ACTAGCCAAAAAATCACTTACAGTATTAAATTTCTATAAGGGAAATAGAAGTTAATATGAAATATTTTTCAGTTTCTGAGCTATTATGGTAAACATTTTATCTTATCTTATAAGTCTAATGTAATAAAATATAAACACAAATTTTAAAGACTATCGCTGTTCAATATCCCTTTATTTTCTCGGGTAGAAATCTAATCTAGTGCCTCGTGTTTTTATCTCATATTTTAGTCTTTTTTTTCAAATATACATATATATTAATTTTTATTATGATTATATAGGCGTCCAGCACGAATTGTTACCTGGAACGTGATTATATACTTAAAACATCAGAGAAAAATTCTTCGGCGATGCAAAAATTGATAATAATTCGATGTAGATGCACAAAGGTGCACGTCGTGTCGTAGACACTTGAGGCGTTTAACAATCGAAAAATGATGGATCACCCGGTGTCGCTCGCTTCGTGGTTCCACCACGAATACGGTGCTTGGAAGGTGCATAGTTCGTTCTCCTCGTTTGCTCGATGTAGCCAAATAAGAGACGAAAGAGTGTTTACTTAAGGGCCGAAGCACGTCCAGCATACTCACGAGATACTCGTTTTCACTCTCCTCTCGATACGTTTCTACGTACTCCCTTAATGTTATCGTATCAGTGTCGTGGACACACGTGCTGCTCCCTTAGAACATATTTTGTGAAGGCTTAATACGACATCGGTCTAACCTACTTTTCCAAGACTTCGAGAAATATAAGAGAAAATTTAAATTTTCCCAAGTTCTTAAAACAATGTGGGTTAAAATCACTGAATTTACTGAATTTTTCATTTTATCGAATTTTTCTCTGCGTGAGGACGACTAAATGCAAGTTTAATTCTATTTACATCTTAATTATCTTACCACAAATTTATTTTACTTGTTATAAAAAATTAAGAAAAGCTTAAAAGATAAACCGATATAAATAGATGTTAGGAAGAATGGCTTGTTGCAAATTATTTTACATTAATACTTGATTCTTCCTAAATTTCTTATTTAGCCATCTATTTTATATATATTTTTCATATCTACCTATACATTCTTAATCTCATAAAAGGTACACATTTATTAGGCAACTATAACTTTGGATACCTTTCTTGTTTACAATATTTTTATCCATTATCTATTTTCATTGCAAAGAAATATAGACTTTGATAATAGTACTTGAGATTGCAAGTTGCTCGCGATTATCTTGTAATGAGTGTGTCTTATAGTTAGTAATTGCTTATATGAGTCCTTGAACATACATGCATTCTACGCCACTGTCGATATATCAGGGTCCATGCAGGTAGCAAACACATATGTATATCATATTGTGGACCTCTGGCACACATACAGAGGTAACTTTCTGTCACCCTTGGCTGCCGAGCAAACATCAAACGATTTTTAACCATCGATTATGCTCCGTCACGATAAGCGAGAATTCTCTGCCATATCGTTATTCGAGAGTGAAAAGTCTTTCACTCAAAGAGATGACCTTTGAAAACGAATTTGTGGGATTATAGCTTAAAAAAAATATTACCGATAATCGCGAAATAATATTACTATAATACGTAATGCAAACAAATCACGTCTTATTAACGATAAGTGCGATCGCATGATCGTGCCATTGAATTTAGCAATTAAAAATTACACTTCTGGAAGTTTAGATATTTTTTTTTTAATATTAAACTATAGGAATATTTCACGTAAGATACATTTAAAAAGAATTAATATTTGCCTCGCAAAAATGTTCGCGTAAACGGCAATGATGTTTCTATTAAGTCGACAAATTTAAACCCTTTAAACGATGCACCACGCCACGCAATTGTACAAAGTCGAGATCTGTTCGCTCATTTGGTAATGCTGATTGGCGGACTATTAGATTTCGCGACTTTTTCGATAATCAAGAATTTAGGCTAAATTAGCGGGTGTAAGTACAAGTGCGAGAGAGAAGAAAGCATTATGTGCTATTGCGTTTCTCTTTGCCAAAAAAAATTAACAGTTTGATAATGCTTAATTCGCACGTCGCACTTCTTATCCGAAGGATAAGATCGCTGTTTCGATTAGCTATCGTCGGCCGCTGATAAATCCTAATTGGTGTCGCGTATTCGCTTATCGCGGATCTATATTTATGTAAATATCGTTAATGGAGCCATATCGATCGCCTGATGGTGTTCGTTTATCGGACTAATTTCAATTCTTTGCTCGGTTATATTGTTAAAGTAAAACTTAGGGCATCCTAAACTTCATGCGATTTTATGAAACTAAATAGGTTTTCTTCTTTGCAGTTCTGTAGCAAGGATGAGATATTGTGGTTTTTATCAGCCGATGTAATATAAAAGTAGTCATAGAGTGAAGTCCTTCAATATAATTTTGTAATTGTGGGATGTATTGTTGAACTTGTTTTGTTCCCTATTCGTTGTGGGTCTATCAAATTTTGATATAAATTATAAATAAATGAGAGATTTATTAATAATTATATCTCTCCGTGACTATAATTTTATTAAAATTTATTGCGAAATTTATTTATTTATTATTGCGAAAAATTTGATCCCTTATCAGACTTCAATTTGATATAGTCAATTTGATTTAACGATAGAATGGTAATTATCGATACATCTGTTATTGATAACGTGCACATGATCTCGTAAAGTGTCATACGTCGATATATATATCTCTCTCTAAATATTATATATAAAATGTTATAAGTAATTAAATTATATGTATATTCATCTATATGCCTTTTTCGTTACGTCTAATTAGCACGATTAAGTAAAGCAACATTACGTATATTTTATGGCTAATAACACAGATGAATCATTGTAGGTATATATTTATCAGATGGATTACACATGGCGATGTTTATTGGTATAAATAAGTTAATGAAATGGCTATTTTATTACTGCGATAAATAAGCCATCATTGTCATTAACTGCGTCGCTCCACTTTAGATTAACGGGTAATAATAGCAAATGAAACCATATAATCGATTTATAAGTTTTCCATTAAAGTGCGAGGTATATTATCGCATCTTGATATATTTCATTATCCCCTTTATCAGCTTGGATATACAACTCGCGTACATATATACACAATTTGTTCAGTACTATTCAATTAACGAAAATCATTAACTTTCTTCGCACAGAATATTTTTTTTATCGTTCTCGCTTTATCGTTCCACCTTGACTTTTTATCCGCTCCTTTATCACCTTGTTACCGCATTAACTACAACGCCGTACGCGCGATACGGGTGTGCCAATATAAAACATTTGCCTAACATTATTTTTAGCAATCTTTATCGTACAGCTTCATCGCGCGCGACTTACGTAACGAAATTCCATAGAAGATGTCTTCCACTCGCTCGTTATTCTAGCTATCATTTCAAATGCGGAAAATTAATCGCGCGATTTCAATAATCAGTTCGGATGATAAGTTTTTCACGACGTCGTCGTGCTCGGGACAATTACGCGAGTTCCGTACCGGAGGGTGCAATTATGCCGTTTAACGAATATCATGGCGTCTTCCGACTCGGCTCTGGCCCACCCTCCCCACATCCGGCGTTTGACCTCCTCTCCGGTCCCTACCCCACGCCTTACGTACTCCACCGGGGAAGTCCTATTCCGTAATTAGAATCTCCCAGCCCCCTAGGAGGCCTCGCGACCGACTTCGCCCCCTCACCGGCCATTACTTTTAATGGCGTTGTTAATGAAACTAGGTGTCGCCAAATTAACCTCCCATTCCAGCTGTGCTCAACCGTGAAACGAAAGCGCTGCTCGGAAAGGCGTAATTAAATTTCTCTAATTATATCGCCGTATGATTATCGTCGATAATAGACTGTAGACCTTACGGTTCATTTTTGAGAGACGTTTTGATACAAATTTGCAGAGCACGACAACGAGAAGGCTTCTAAGATCTTAAAGCAATATTTCTTGAGGTTTTTATCCAAATTGTCAATAATATCAACATATTATGTATAAGTACAAGAGAATGTTTACAGAAATTACATCTTACATAAACTTACATGGGCAGGTCTTAAACTCAAATTTATGTTAAAAATACGATTATTTGATTGAATGTCTTAATGTAATAATTGTCGAGAATTCATGACTAAAGTATAGTTTGTAAAAGTAAGGTTTTAATCATTGGAAAATCTTACTCTTTCCCTTACGATTCCTATCGCATTGTAATACTACAGATTCGCGAAAACATGAGTTTCGTAATTGGAGGAAACCTATCTGGTTTAGAAATGGTTTTCTTCAACTACTTAGATTCTTCCGGACCTCATCTCTCGAGATTGCGCTTGAATTCAAGAGAGAAAGAGATGTTTACACCGGCAAAGTTTTACCGCACTTTTCATCCTCTTGAGAGATACGGGACAGTATTAAAAAGTACAAACATATTCGCGCGATACGGTGAACACGGCGAACATTTCGAGAGGAACTTCGCTCGTGGCTATATACGTACCTAGATATTCGATCGCGGCCCGAAGGAGAATACGATCGGCAGAACGGCCGGAGAGGGTTTGAAAACCACTGGCCCGGGCTGATTATCGCGGTAACCACCCCCCGAGCGCCAATTAATCTTAACTTTTACGGGGCAAACACTTTTCATTAAGCCCGCCTCTCCCGCCGGCGTCGGCGTTTCGCCGTCCCTTCGCCGCCATCCCTTCCTCGTTTCTCGCAGCCTCAGCCACCCCCGCGAGTCCCCCCATTTTTCCTGGTCCCCCCTCTCCGTCCCCGCTGTCTCGCTACGCCGCTCATCCTCCTTCGGCTACGGCGAGGAACGGCAAGGAAAATGGCTCCCCAGACAAGCGTTTAATCTGGCTCTAATTAGCAACTTACCCTCCACCATTGCTCTCGCTCTCTCTCCCTCCTTCCGCTCTTCTCCCCTTTTCCTGTATCGGGGTAGGTGCACTTCTCGCGCATTCTCTGTGACCAATCCCGTTCTCTTTCTGCTTCTGCCGAGGACAGGAGCGGATATATATAGTTTGGGCCCTATAAAGTGAAAGGGTTGAAATATACCCCCTTCTTTTTCCTCCGTCGATTAACCTTATCTTGAAAGAAATGCCAACTTCTCCTTGACTCAATCTTTGTTAGTTTTACATAATGGTTGAAAGTTTGTGTTTTTGTATGATTTCTGAAATATAACAAATATTGGAAGAAACGTATTCCACACACACACACACACACACACACACACACATAACAGTTCAGATACAGTCGTTCAGATGTGTAACGATAATTCGTGAAAATAAATTCATTAAAAGTTGTAAATAAATCTTGAAAAATAAAATTATGAATGAAATTATGAAATTTTTTATAATTATATTTTTTTATAGTATTCTAGCGTAGTATACTCCTTTACATTATCGGCAGAGCACCCTGGAGTTAGAGTTATCTTACGTAGGGTACTTATGGGTGAATGGTGAATGCAGGATAGGTGGTATCCATTTTTGTAGATGGTCGATAACAGGAGGTAATATATCGACGTTGAGTACATGCATGCACGTAGGTGTCTACAAGAAATTGTAGAAACCTATTTTATATACAATATATTTGTTGCAAAACTAGATTTCTACAGATATTTTTGGAACAAAAAAATTTATCATAAACCAACAGCGTGTGCTAACAAATGTAAAAAGGGAAAATTTGCTTGTTTGAACTCGCCAAGAAATTTATAAATTTATATAAACAAAAGTACATTTATTGCAATTGAAATTTCTCGTATATTTTTTTCTGTTAAATTCCGTATATTTTTCTTCCGGCTAAATATAATTTTTTTTTACAAACAGAATTTCTCAAGATAGATTTGGTAAGTTCTATATTACATCACAAATCGGAATAATTTTTAAAATATATTAAAAATATTTATTATCTCTTGAATTCTTAAAACTTTCTATGTAACATGGATTGGTGGATTGATATTATAAAAAAATGTCAATGTCAATAATATCTGTTGTATATTAATACAACTCTCTATATTAATAGAGATAAATATTTCTAAATGTAGATCATTTTTTCGTTTTAATATATATACGACAATAAATTATTTATAATACAATACTAATAACAATAACGAAGCTTATACAAGCAGCTTAAATGATCTTCATATTAAGCATCTCTCCATTTATTACTAACTAGCATCTCAAGAATTTCATCCTAGCTTGGCTAATTAATCATTGGGATACATCGATTGTAATCTTTGATTAACTTTTTATTGCCAGTTTCGAATATACTTAACGATCTTCATACGACAACACTTTGAAAAGCGTCATGCTTTTTGGCACTTTCGAAAGAGTGCCTATTCTTCATAATCGAGCACGATTATAAAAGTCTTAAAAAAAAAAAAACGAGATAGGACTTTGGTAACTTCGCGCTCTTATCCTCTTCCTTCTTCTTCTTTTTCTCGGGTAAAGCGACTCATCCTTCGGAGTAACCGAGGTTCCCCCGTTTTAGCTCATGACTTTATCGATCCAGGGCACGAATTTCTGGATATTGGTATATACGCCGGGTAGGTGTTCGCGACCGCAACCGATGCCCCAAGAGACCAAACCGATCAGAACGTGTCTGCCTTCCACGGACATTGTGAGCGGTCCACCCGAATCACCCTGTTGCAAGATAACGTGTAAACGAAAGTCTTCTAATGTTACGTGTGTTTAGCTAATTACCGAATTGAGCGAATACCTGACAAGAATCTCGTCCACCTTGTCTGTAACCTGCGCAGAGAAATACATCGTGAATGGTTTCTCTCCTACCGGCTGCTCTGAACCACTTCTGACATTTGTCGTTCGGTATTACCTAAACAAAAATATATAACACATACACATACACACAATGATATGTTAAAAAAATTATTTATCGTGTAATTAAATAATATGAATATTATAAGCAGAGTAATAATTAAATAATATATAAATTTACTTACGGCAGATAAATTCTTCTCGTTTATATTGGCAATAATTATATAAATAAATAAATATAAAATATCACAAAAAAATCGTCTTATAGAATTGCATAGGTATAGAGACGTTTTATCATCAAAGATGAATATGTTAGCCAAGAGCGTACTCACCTCGACATCGACTTCTTGAAGAACGGTTGGCGCCGAAGTTTGACCATGCCTGGTTCGTCCCCAACCAGCGACGGTTGCGGTTCGGCCGGAGAGCTTCAAATTCCTCGCCGGCAGGCAAACCGGGACGATGTGCTGCTTGAAAGCTACCATCCGGGACAGCTTCACCAAAGCCACGTCATTTCGAAAGTCGGTAGGGGAGTATTGCGGGTGTATCTGTTGTCATTATAATTTTCAACGTAATTATTACTAATTAAGCTTTCAGCTTTGCTGGATAAAGTCCAATAAGTGTGTATTTTGCAACTTCTTCTTTAATATATTATACACGTCGCAATGCGACGCGAAGTTTTTGGATATGTATACCGTTAAATCAACAAAGCTTAAATCATTATTTAAAAGGAGAACCTCTTTTCTCTCGATATTAAATTCTTCATGGAGCAGCCGTTCTGTCTGGTCTCGAACGTCCCATTCCCCGAGTCGAACTTTCAAATTGCTATTCGGTGTCCTGACATACAAAATGCGATATATCAATGTTCTTATTAATGTGTACTAAACTGTTGTGACAATAATGATCAATACTAACGTCGCGACACAGTGTGCCGCGGTGACCACCCATCGGTTGTTCAGCAAGGCGCCGCCGCAAGACAGTTTCTTGGTCTGTAAGAATCCCGACTTGATAATGGCGGCCTGCAACAAAGAGAACGTTTAGAAGCCTATTTACAAGCGCGTTACATGAGATATGTATCCGAGCCCGCGATGTAACGGCTCGCGGCGTTTAGAGAAGATTTAATAGATTATTATCCTCCTCGCTCTCCGCGCTAGGCGAATCGAGCAAATTGATGGCTCGTTCCCGATGAATAATGCAGAGGAAAGGAAGAGTGTGTCTCGCTCCGCGAGACCCGAGCGAGAGATAGATTAATGGCGGCCGAGCGAAGAGAGGAGAAGGACGGAGAGGAGAAAATCGCGCAAGGAGGATCCTCACCTGCCACGGATGACTGCCGAAACTGGACGAGTGTCCACCTACGATCCTGTTGCTCCTCGTGTAGAGCTCGCCACAGCCTGAAAGTACGATCTATGTTAGCTATTGCGAGTATACGAGTTCAAGAGAAAATGTCCGATATTCCATGTTGGTGATAATACGCGATGGTATAATGTTGCGAAGGTGATATTTTTGGGGACGGGCACATGATCGAAGAGATGATATTTGTGCGTGTCGTATAGAGGAGAAAATATGCGAATATGCGAAGGAGAGGAGAAGCTCACGCTGAAAATTATTAACTGATACTTTCTACAATTATCGCAATTAAACTGATACCTTGGTGTTTGCTTAAGATTGTTCGCGCCTTAGCGAGAGACAGAAAGCAGAAAATAGACGTGGCGCAGTGTAGAAAGTTTGCGCGACTTTATAGGAAATCTATTTATTTTATCGCAGATTATAGAGATACATTATCCATAATTAATCGTTGCAAAACTTTTTTAACACGTGATTTTGTTCAAGATAGAAAGAAGAAGATAGGAATATTCGTATACTTAAACATTAGATAATTAAACACGTGTAATTAGTATCATTTTACCTATTAGCCTATTAATTTTACAATTTGAATTAACGTGCAATTTAATAACAGAACATATGTAATATAAAGATGCACGTTTAAAAATTTTATTTTGTTGAAAGATTGTATTCTATTTCATGTTTCTACTTTGTATTTCAATGTTTAAAAGGACCCGAGGACTGTTAAGAATACAATTATTTTCTTCTTTGTTCCATATTGCTTCATGAAATTATGCAGTCTTCTATTATCTTCCTTGTTTCGCTTTTCCCGTGTTATCCCTCGTTCTCTGTCTCCAGTCAGTTTTTCAGCATTCTCTCATTTTTTTTTCTTCAAATTCAATTTCTCCAATTTCAACTTTAATCATTTTCCGGCAACACTTTATACAGGAAAATGTGTGCGATGTGACGACGAAAGCATTCATTTTTGTGCGGTTTCCACGCGAAACATTGTGCATGTTTGGATACTGTCTCCGTCATTTGGGATCCATTATAGATCGATTTGATTATTATTAATTGGTATATTTAGTAACAAACGTAGTAGTATAGTATTTTGTATTGTCTCGATGTTATTCATTTTACAAAATTCGTCACAGTTTGTCTCGTATATTTCGTACTGATTTTCGTCAAAGCTGTAATTCTATATAATTCTATGTTCTTTAAAATCAGTACTTTTCTTCTCGATATCAATGAATTAAATCTGGTGTGAAGTCTAATAATTATCTGTTGACATTTATTGGCATAAATCAACACGTACAAACATATCACTTCTAATCCAGTGTGATTAGATTAAAATCAAGTGCCTGTTTCGATCGATCGTAATAGTCAACATCGAGTATATCCAAACCAATAATTATAATCAGGTGCGCAAGATCTCACTCTGTTGCAAATAGAATTGATAGCAGTATAAAAAGCAGAAGCTCGGCCAGACACGTTGAAGCGACACACAAGTTCTAATTGTAAGGAGTATATAATTTTTGAGGTGAGCTCAATTTCCCATGCTACAGAAGACACAGCGCGCGGGATTCTCGCGTGCCTGTAGTCCTCGGAATCTGAACTCACCGAGGTTTTTTCAGCGAGTCCTCGACTCGTGCGCTCGACACACATCGTGCTCGACATTCGGGTGCAATAATCTGCGTGCATTCTCATGCGATTACCACGATATCTGGAGTAGTCCATGGCGTTGGACGAGTCCTCGATCGGCCCGCCGGAAGCGGCGGGCCGATAGCCTCCACCGTCGTACTCGTCCTGCGGATATTCCTGAACCGTGTGATGCGGCGGACGAGTAGCGTACGTCGGCCGGTCGTGGCCGACCGCGAGATCGTTCGGTCCGTCGTGGCTCCAGATCGCGTAAGGTGGCTCGTAAAGACTTAGCGGATTACTGACGCCACCCACGTACGTGGGCCGATGGGCCTCGTGGCTGTGCGAGGGCCTGCCGGGCCTGCCGGGCCTTACCGCGCTGCTGTAAATGTGCACGTCGTCGTCCACGTATGGCTGTTGGTGCCCGAGATTTATGGAAAACGCTGGGCAACGTAACACGGTGTTGCTATTAGCTACTCGGAATCACTCGCGCGTCGCGCGGCTCCGCGCAGCCGAATTTAAGCCCGATAACGTGGCAATTATAAGTAATTATGCGCGTATCTATATATAGCTGATATTTTAATCACAGCTAGAGAATTAAAGACTCTATCAGTTTAGAATTAATCTATCCGAGAAATCAACAAAGAAGATTATTATAATACTAATAATATCAATAATTTCACTCATCTGCATCGCTTTCTTTATAATTGTTCGTTGCAACAAACACTTTTACTCAAATCAGGCAAAATCGTGTATCGCAAAATAAAAAGGAACTTTTACTTATTTTTCAATTGTGTTACAAAATAATACGATAATTTGTAATTGTCTTGTTCCGTCGCTGACATTATTTCCTCGCCTGATGTTTCTAATCGTGCCATTGTATTGATGGTCGCGCGGTTACGGTGAGCGACTTGCGGCTTGGGAAAGCACGCTCGCGTAAAGTTCTACGGGCGTGCAACGCGATGCCGTCGCGCAAACTAGGTGTGAATAACTGTATTTGAAAGTGCCGACCGTATACTCTGTCGCATCGTCTGTGGGCGCGCGACACTAGCTGGACGCTGTTGGTTGTGTAATTTCGGATGTCGTCGGATAGAAATCAGGTTACTTCCAGCCGGCGCGTCTCCTTTCAGTTCGCGATTCGCGATAAAGCCAAGCGTTCTCAACCTTCTCGCGATCTAATCTCATCTTAATCCCTAACGTTAGTCTGCTAAAATAACGTTACATCCCCCACATTGAGGATAATTACGTTAATTACAGTATCATCTGTATTCTCTTTGCGCCTCTTCGCTAAATGCGGCTCGAATCTCTCTACTTCGCGTAGAGAGTACACATCGAACGTATTATTTTATTGTTGTCGTTGCGAGTGAAGATAAAAATTAGACAATTTCGCTTCCGTAAACAAATTTTAAAGCGTTTACGGAAGTTGTTCGCGAGCAAGTCGCGCTAAAAGCGCGGCGGCGCAACCTCGAAGTCTCGGTTCAGAAACTCGGTTTAGCGACATTCGAGGACACGGACCCTCTTTCAGGATGTCGTAAATTTACGGCGGCATGACGGCAGATAAAAAGGACCACGCGAGTTAATTGAGAGACGCCGTTAAATTAAAAACTCTTCCGCGAGAAAAAAAAACATACGGCGTTTCTCATTGTTTCCTCTATTGCTAAATGGTAGATTAAGAAGTTCGCAGACTATTTCAGTTAAAGTTTACCTATTTTCTGATTAAAGTAATTTCAGTATACATGCTTTTTTTTCGGTATATGTGCCCGAGATACGTCTTAACGATGCGAAAGAACTCACTGGCATTCTGCAGCAAACCCGGGGTCGGTCGTGGTTGTTCGGGTATGTCCTCGTCGTCCACGCAGCAGCTCCATATTAAACCACCGGAACAGAGATCGACAGGTCGACCGCCGCCTAGAACGCAGCTGATGCTGAGGCCACACTCGAACTTGGCACCTTTGTACTTGCACGTTTGCGGTATCACTGAAACAGATTCCACGTATAAACATTGATATCTTTGTATATTGGATCGCACGTTTGCCGATGGATTATTTTAATATTATATAAGTAAACGATTAATAAATACAAATGTTTGCTCGAAAATGATTTACTCAAGAATTTATCTTCTTGCTAGCATAAAAAGACATCCAAAAGTGAAAGTCTGTTGCGATATCGATGAGTTTGTTTATCTCTTGTCACGCGATTGCAACTTTAATTGCGCCAAGTATATTATTTCACATAGCATCCAGCGCGTTTTCCTGAAGATCAATATTCATCGAAATGAATCTTGTGTCGACTTTCAATACGTACAATTGCATTAATAATTTGCTTGTAACCGATGTTGTACTTTGTCAATGCTGGAAAGTCAATGATATTTGCTATCAATTTTCATTTTACAATTTTCAAAAATATCAGATATAAAATATCGAATCATCGATATTCCTATTTTTACTCATTTATTTCATACAATTTATTTCATTTACAGCTTACGCGCTTTAAATTTTTTAATAAATTAATCTGCAATCTATAAAGTTTATTTTCAGAATCGATATATCTCATTTGATTGAAAGCACTTTTTAATCTTTCTTTAATTTTCATTTTCGTCCCATTTTCAATCCTACATACTTCTGCCCAACATATCCATAAGGCCGCTCTGGAGATTGGAGCTGTGTCCCCGATGATCGTTGGTGTAGTTTCGCTTCTTCCTGAGCGTCTCCACGAGCAAGGCACCTTGCTGCTGGCTGGTCAGCTTCCTCCCTCTGCCCTGTCGATGTCCGTCTACCGTTTCCTCGAATACTCCATTTAACCTCTTTCGTCTCATTTCGTTCAGTAACTCCTGGAGACTTGTTTCCTCTTCCTCTTCATTCTGCGGGTCCTTTTCGAATACCTCCTGCCCGCTCCAATCCATCTCTTCCGCATTATGACTCAGGAAGTGATCTTGAGTATCTGTGGAGAACACCGAGCTCTTCGTCGGATGATCCGCGTTCTCCAATATGGCGTCGGTGGATCCATCACCGCCGTATGGAAAGTTCGAAAAGTACTGATACTGTTCGACCTTGGCTGGTCTGCCTATCACGTTCTTCAGGGTGCTCTCGATGGCTCGATTCTCGCGCGTCAGGTCCGGTCGCGTCCTGGCGGCTTCCGGTTTCCAGAGCTCGTGATGCTCGTCCGAATCGTCGGCCACCGCGAAACTTCTCGCCGAGTTTTGGAGAACGTTGTCCTCGCGCGAGTTCGACGATCTCGATCGATACGTATCGGATCGCTGCAGACGAGTTTCTTTAACTTTGACCGGCACGATCGCTCGGCTCGCAGTCGTGATCTTGTAATCCTCCCTGCGTTTCCACGAATAGGTGTCATGGTGATCGAAAGCGCTCGCCACGGTCATCAGGAGCATCCCGAGCACGATCTTCATGATCGACTTTGACTTCCGCCTTGTCACTTCGAGGATACCTTGCGCATCGTCACGATCTCACTGCACGCTCGATAGTTAAAAGGGACGCACTGCGATGAGGATGACTCACGAACGGTTTATCTTCCTCTCCATTAACGGCGATCGATGAAGAACAGTGAAGATCTCACTGAAGACTAAATCAAGTTTCTCCGAAATTATTCGAGGAGAAACTTGACTTAGTTGGAAGCTGTAAGTCAAGTTTCTCTTATTCGACTAGTTGAAATTTCACTTGCAAAAACGTTTGAGGAATTAATTGGCACACGGTTAATTTCTTTGAATCGCCAGCTTCTTGTTTTTTTTTTCTTTTCTTTTCATACAAATAATGTAACTTTCGACTTCGGGAAAAATCTCCGATTTTCAATGCACTTGATAAGATTTGATTATCGATCCCGGTGCATAAATCCTTAATCTCGAATGTAATTTATGGCCGAATTTCTGTCTCACAAATCTCTCACTTCGTCGAAGGCTCCCGCGAGCGGCACAGTATTTCGAACGATTTTGGGATCCCATGTAAGCACGGCCATTTTGATATCACTGGTTTCTCTTGCGACAGCTTCGATTTATCATGCAAACTTTCCTGCAGAAGGTGACAGCGGACGCAGCCTCTTCTCGGCGATCGCCGACGCGTAATGTACGATCGAGAGACAGTGTCAGAGGTTAAAGGCGCCTTATGACACCTGACCGGAGTGACGGTAAGAAGCCGTGACAATACACGCCTTCTGCACGTGGACTGGCTTGAACCGATGTCCCACGATCGTCTCGATCTAAGAAGGCGTCCACTGCTTTCACCGGCGTCAGCTTTCCCGCAACGGCAGCGACGGTGTCGTCCGTTTGGTCTCTCACATTGGTTCCCCACCTTCACCATCGCCAGAACGCATCGCGGTGTTGTGTGCCTTATTTTCCATTTCTTTCTTCGTTGAGTTATTATGTCGCCGCGAAATTGTCGTACTCTGAATAGCTGGAAAACTTCGTCAAGATTCGGGCCAGTCGCCTCGCGAGGACGGAAAACGGGGATGGTTATTTCTCCGACGAATCTTTTGTTGAATCGTTTAAGCTACATCTTTGGTCACTCTGTTGTTTACTATTGTTGAGATATATTTTTTATTGCTGTCAAATGCGGAGATCATATTTCAAAAGAATTATAAATTTTTATTGAGATTTTTCTCTACTGGTGTTATTTTGTTGATTTCATTTCTCCATTGAGATTTTGGAAGTTTTATTACAATGACGATGTTATATTGAAAGAACGATTGAACAATATTTACCGTTCTACCAAAATAAGCATTCAGGTTTATTAAAAATAAAAAATTGTGCGATAATTCCGTCAGTAGTATATTGAGTTTTATTATAAATAAAGGATAAAGGATATAAAAGAGCGTATATATGATTTCGAGAAATCGGCTATTTGCTAAAATGGACATTTACATCGAATAGATTCGATAGACTGAGATTTCGCGACCCAATTTCATCGCATGGCTTCACAGACAGTATTTTTACTTTGGCGGATAAAATTTAGATCGACGCAAACCTAGACCTATTTACGAAATGTTCTATTAAATTCATTACAAAAAATAAATATAACGATTAATATTTAAACTTCAAATCTCATGTTTGCAAATTTTTATTTTTAAATTAGTAAAAATTAAGTAGAACAACACTTAGATCGTTCTGTTAAATTCAATGAAAATTCAGAAGCCTTGCTCGTTTGTAATTCAGTAATTCAGCGAGACAGTATTAGGTATCATTTTTAATAAAAGGAAAGATATCATCGGCAAAATGCTTGTAATCACAGGTGCGCTGAGGTCGCAGTGAAAACGGAGCTTCTGTGCGCGCGCTTCATTATAAATATTCTTGTAGAAAGTAAGCGTCGATAAGTGGCCTTTCAAGTACGATTCCGATTTCGTATCTCTTGTTAACTCAACTGTGTATCTTTCGTGCTTTGCTTATATTTTACGGTAGAAAATTATTATAATCGCAGTATCTTCTCTTTTAGATGATAGTTATATCAAATAAAATAACGTTCAAAGGAAAAATTCTCCTTTTTATTTTTTTTCAATTCCTCAAATATATTCTGGCAACAATAAATATTTAATTCTAATAGTATTTAACTGTGAATATTTAACTTAAATATTTTACATAATTTGTTTGAATAGTTTTATTCAAAGCCTATATACATCAAAGAGAAATAACGTTCTGAATTACGTTTTTTAACCGATTATAATTATTACATGCAGTAATAATAAAAGAAATCTCGGATTGCCTGGAATAGATAAAGATATAGACCATGTTGCTTTGCTTGTATAAATATGAATATCCGGTGAACGTCAACCGGTCTGTCATCCTAAATCTTTCCATCTAAACCTATCATTTCGACGAGATCTCACCGTTGCACGCAAGTGTTACTCATACGGCTGAATCATCCTTATCGCATGCCGCTCATTTGTCAACTGAAATTATTTTAAAGGACAGTAATAGATATCAGGATTGTTTACCGCTTTTGCTGTTTTAATTTCGCAGGGGTGTTACGATGACACATGACTGACATGACAATCAAATACTCAAATTGTATTTAACTTATATTTAAATTGTGTTATTAATTAAATGACTCGGAAGCAAAAAGCAACCCACTAAGAGTATCTTGCCATAAACACCCTTCTATAGAAAGCCGCTCGGAATCGCCGTTAAATGGTTAAATCCCATGTATCTGATGCATTGATATATGCGGAGAGGTCACAACGCTCTTAAAATCGAGCAAAACAACTAATTAATTAAGTACGAAAGTAGAAGCGTGCCATGAAACTCCATTTTCTCAAGAAAGTTAAGAGAAATTAATTTATTATTCTAATATACGAGCAAATTTTTTCTTTCGAAACAATCTTTAAAATTTATGTTAATACCTGTTTATTTTTTATAATGTAATGCATGAGCAAGCGTGTTGAGAGTAATATAGCATTACCTAATATATATTATAACATAAACGTATTAATAATGACGCTACTTACATCCAAGTTCATCGAAGAATCTCATCTGTCCGTGCGAGTCGATCGCATTTTCGATATTTTCTTCTTTCTCTGGCTGATCTAAAAAAAAGTACGTTAAAATCTCTCTCGGTTTTAGCATTATTTACAATAATGAAAAAAAAAATGTAACTATTCATTTACCGAAATTCCTCAGAAATCGATTGTTCCTTCTTTTATTAGCGAGACAGTAGATATCGGCGATCAGAAGTAGCGAGATGAGCGCTCCGGCTTTGAGAATAGTCATTTCTCCCCTCGGCCGTCAGCGGTGATCGTGCGATTCACTGTCGTTCGCCAAACATGCTCACGACCTCGTCATGAATCGTTCCTGACCCGGCGCCGTATCATTTTGCCGCGTTCCACATGGATCTCACTTTGAAATCCGTGTCTTCCGACTGCTCGCCGTCCCGCCAAATCTATCAAAGACCCAAAAAAAGATCTTTATGAAAAAAGATGAAAAAGAGCACGCCTTTTATTTCACAAGCTTTTTTACGCGGCGCGATTCGCCCGTTGCAATCGGATGTAGTATGTAAAATTTGTTTTACACTGGTCCGTTTAATCAAAGAGACCGAAGAGGACTCGATAATACGAACCTCGCTGAAAAGTGTTAATTGCTAGAACTGTGAAAGATTCGCCTTGTAATATAATCGCATTTCGGGGGCGGATTCGTTCGCACAAATTTTGTAAAAATATCTTTGCGATTTTTTGAGCGCATCATATTATTACATTGCTTTGTTACATCGTTTTATTATTTACTTTATTAAAGAATTTGTTATACATTCTGTAATTCAGTAGACAATTTATATTTCTATTCCGCGTTTATGGGTCAAATCCGGCCATCCTGTCTTCATCTCTGTACAATGTCACGTACAATGTTATCTCAAGCTGAGAATCAGGCCGTTTCACGTGAAAGAGTTAACACGGAGTAAGATCTTTCAGAATTTCGTAATTCTTGATTCTATCATCTTTTAATGCAGAATCTTTCTGGCTTCGCGATTACTTGTCGAATTTAGGATATACGTGTTTTGCTTTCGCCTTTAACAAATTTTGAAATTATTCTCATGCCGAGGCCCCGTATGAACAAGCTAGCAGTCACACTTTGATGTTATTGTGCATCGCGTCAAAGGGTTAATCGCGAGTCGTGCGGACACGCTCCGGTTTCTTCGTCGATCTCGGAGAACCCTCGGGTCTTTGTCCACATCCTCGATCGGTTCCTCAGCGGCATACCGTGAGCGAGTTCACGTTAGCGTGTCCGAAGACGTTCACGTACAGTCCGGTACAAAAGTGGGACACGAAACCAGGCCACCGAGACAAGTGGCACGCCTTTTAGTGCTTCGTAACGTTCTACAGCCGATCTACATGCGGAACCATGTCCACGCGGCGACGTTACCCCTCCTCTCTCTCTCTCTCTCTCTCTCTCTCTCTCTCTCTCTTCCCCCCTTTTGGTTATTAGTGAAAGTTAGTGGTAACTTTCAACTTTGACAACGACGGCGACTCAACGTGGTGAGTGCGGGGAGAACATGCCGGGTCCTCGTAGGCACTAGATCGCGTTTACGAGCATCATTTTGAAGAGACGTTTTTCAATCCTCTTAATATGAATGACGAAGTACTATCACTTGATACGAAAAATCGGTAGCAATCAATAAACAAGTGACAGATATGATAAATACGTTTATTTTACTAAAAATTAGTCTCCATTTAACTTTTCAACTTTCTATCTCTTTTAATATTACTTGTGAAAATAAAAATTATCAAATCCGTAGAAAAATCTACTTTTCCTTGGAAGTATCGCGGAACTAAATTATGCTCGTGCAACAGCTCTACTTCGTGAAATAAAAGCTTTATTCTAGAACGAACTTCGAATAACTGTTCCGTTTAGATGGTACGAGGCGAATTGAAGACGGAGGAAAGAGTGAAATATCACTTTCAACCATCGTGCCGTAAGTTACGAGTTAAAACCCGTATACACGGGGCACGCGCTATTGTTTTTGATTGCTCGACTTTCTTCGCGCTTCTTCTTTCTAGTAAAAAATAAACAAGTGGCATCACGCGCATACTTCTGGCACACTTTGTCTAATTTGAATCTATCCTGTTAATTGATATTTTCTCGCCCAATCGGTCCGCTGCTGTTTAAAACTTTTTTTTTAGATCTTGGATATATTATTTAGGTAAATAATACATATTATTTATTTTTTCTAAATGCAATTTAAATAATGGGTATTATTTATCTAAATAATATCCTCAGAAGATATATTATTTAAATTATTCGAGAGCGCGAGATTCTATAAATTCTTGAAGTCCTTAATTATAATTAAGGAATTAGAGAAGGATTTTATAAACGAGCCAGCAAATGCATTGTTGTGACAGTTTTTATGAGGGTATCGTTACATTCTTAAGAATCGAAAGCACGTGCAGCGATCCGGACAGCCTCACCTGGATTTCTATCAAGATCAAGGTTGAAGGCGAGTCTGAGATCTCGTTCGCGGATTGCAATATGACATTCGCAGAAGAGACGCGAAAGAACTCGTACTTTTTTCCTCGATTCAATCGATTATCGTATGTCACGTTTAAACCAATAATCACTGGTGTTATTCGCTAGAAATATTAGAGAGAAGGTAATAGAAATAATATATTCCTGATTTAAAGAAACGTAAAATTAAAATTAAATGTCAATAGAGTCAATAGAATAAGAAGTTTTATCTGATATAAAATAAAAGCTTTATAATTGTACTTTATTTTTTCTATCTTATTTTGTGTTCCTACCTTTTTTTTTATATAATATCGGTATCATACGATTACACACTTGCGCTTGAGGACCCGATCACTTTGCGGAAACGTGTAGTTTCGGGATAAATTCACCTCGCGAACGTTAACGCGAGGTAATTGTAACATTAATTCGAGATTTTATTTGTCCGAGAAATTCAATGGAAACTCATATCACGGTTTATGGTCACGTTCACATATCGAGACGGACCAATGAATAGAGCACCGCCGCGACACGCGGTTAACTACTGATGAGGAACAGAAACATCAGCATCCGAGACCACTCTCTTTGACCTGTTCTCACTCTCTCCAGATGGGCCCAAAGGCGCCCAAAGCGTTCCTTTTCTATCTAGCCAGTGAAATTACGACGAGGTGTAATGAGAGTCTTTTACATCCGTTCGGATAAAAAGCGTTCGACGGAACTCTTCACTTTCTAACCAGATGTTCTGTTCTTGTTCCTTTTTGCTTAACAAGTTTTTTATACGCTTTTTCTCTGTAATTAATTTCCTTTTAATTTCAAATATTTAATTACAAGTTAAATGTTTTTTAACTTTCTAATTTTTTCTCTTCGACTGTTTCGTTTCTGAACATTTGAAAAATTCATTCTTTTATATTTCGTTTTTTTTTTATTTCTCAAAAATCTCTGTATGTCCCGTAAACTATATGATTGTAATTGTAATTACCTATTCTTACGCGCATTTGGCATGGATCTGCATGTTCTTAGCGAGACGTAATTATGGTAATACATGTAAACTACACCGTTGTTTTGTTCGATTCGCTGTCCGTAAGCTTAGTAATCCCGAAACTTACTTTCACGGAGAGCCACAATCGCACGGGACAATCTGTTTATTCCGCGCGAAATTTCACTTCGAAATGTCGTTGCCGCGTGAAAATTGCTTCTTGGACTTTCGGTCGGTACGCAGTTTTCTGAAACTACTCATTTACGCGGCGAGTAATTATAACGTAACTATCTTGTGACAATCTCGCGAAGATGACAAACGAGTGACAAGGAAAATTTCTTTCTAGGATATCTGGACTACTACAATATGTACATACAGTTGCAAATGTATAAGATATACACAGGTAACACTCGAATAACACGATTAATTGGTTCCGTGTTAATAAAAAACTGTGTTATTCGAGACTTATTGTTAGGATTCATACAATCTTGGAGATTACGTTCCGTACTCTCGCATTTCGTGTATATTACTTCGAATGCAAATATATTATTGTAAAAAAAATTAGATGTTCAATAATGTTTAATATATTTTATCGATTCGAGCTTCATTAAATAGATAATTATCAATTTAATTGAATAAATTATGTATAATGATGAAATTATGTTAATGAATTCTTATCTTGCTATAATGATAATTATAATAATATTAATATAATAAATTATATTTTTATTTTAAATCTCAGTCGAGAGATCAATGTATTGTTATTCAATCAACAGCACTTGTACGCATTTTTCTCGTTACTTTCGAACGGAGCATTTACATAATTTGCTGTATAGGCCAGTGATATAATGAATAATGAAAAGTCACGCATAAATTTAAAGTCATTGCCAAGGCACACTCTACACCACTCTGTGTCATTACTGTGCTATTTCTGTGTCATTTGCGCAATTACGTCTCGCGGTCTTTTATGGACATCGTATTTACATCCCGCGCACGCTTGCGGCTTGAAGTAGAATGATTAATGTGAATGATCTCGGCGTGATTTTTTCAAGATAATACAAAAATTTTATACTAATTTTTCGTAAATATTTAGACATATAGGTATTCTTGAATCTCGCGAGTTGACCAATATATATTTTTAAAAATTAAAAAATATAGTTGTTATTTTACCACTTGTTTGACATTAATTAATCGTATGGAAAATTTACTAGAGAGAGCTTATAAAGTCTAAATCTTAAATAAGTTTAAAAGCATTACACAAGTATAAAAAAAATACAAGAATAAAAATGGAGAAATGTTCGAACATTTTTATGTTACTTTGACAGGGTAATACCGGCTCTACCGGCTACAGTCTTCTCTAGATTCTCTTTTACCTTATACAAGATGTCAGCACGCATTCTATCAATACACGCAATGTGGAGTAGTCGTGTGGTGATGATATGGTATCGTATAGTATGCCAATATGGCTACAGTCGACTACAGCCGACTCCGAGCAAAGTATTAAATGCTACGGATTAACTAAATCCGTACTTGTAAAAATAATTCCGTTCGTTATTTCGAAGTTGCGAAATTCAATTTATTCGTTAGGGAGAATGTGGCCGTACTCTGTGTCAATAGAGATATCTGTAAACAGGAGTTAACCACGTTTAATCCGCAGATATTATTGTGTATACTTCTGTATTCCATCTCCTTTGAAAGAAACCTGGAATCGGTGTTCAACGGAATACATTCGCAATGACCGACTCAGAGAAACTCTTCACTTGCTCCACATCGGGCTGCAATATGGTAAGTGACGATTATTATCTCTCTTATTGAAAAAAGTATAACTTGTCTCGAGTCCCATAAAATCTTAAAGAACTACAATAATGTAAGAGACAACAAGATTGTTTTTCATTTACAGAGTTTTACGAATGAAGATCAATTAACAATGCATAAGAAGAAACACGACATGATGCTAAATCTTAACAATAACTCCAAGAGTGCTGGATTCGTTGGTAAGTTGATAACTTAACAACTTGAATCATGTCCGTACCAAAGAGATATGCTGAAAAATTTAATCGATATGTAGCAGATCAAACTCCAACGCCAACGAGGTTCTTCAAAAATTGCGAGGAGGTTGGTTTATTTCAAGATCTGCAAAACGTGGTCAATCCTTTCGAAGAGACGTTTCGAAGGGCTGTTGAGTCTGGAAATATTGGCACGCTTGTAGTATCGGAGGTAAAAAAAAATCACATACGTATGTTTGTCTCAAATAATGTAAAAAATTATTTCTCTTATAAGAGGTATCAAAAGTACACGATATAAGTTCACTTTTTGCAGACTGGAATTACGGATGACACGCTGCATACTCCTCACATCTTTCCCTATATAACAGATGTATTGCCCGCAAATAGTCAAATTCTTTCCGAAGACACCGTCGAGGTCTGTTCCTCGACCGTGTCTCTTGCCGAGAAAGATGCGGAGGAGGAAAGCGCTATAAAGACTGACGAGTGTAACAGTATTAAATTAAGTACAAACGAGACGCAGGAGTTGATGAAAGATTCGACTGTCGCATCTGCGAAAGATGATACTCTCCCGGCGGACATTATTGCCGCGAATGCAAATATACCTATAGCGCCTAAACTTTCACCGACGCAACCTATGTCTCATCTGTAAGAATGCCCCTTTCATTGTTACAAAGGCTGCATTCCGATATTCACTGTCAGGACTGCAAATCTATATTTTACGTCACGTATACTGTAGATTTTCAGTATTGAAAGTTGCTGACAGTGAATATCGGAATGCAGCCAAAATTGTTCCATGTATTTCATTGTAATAAGCCTCAATTTCTCTTATTTTAATTCAATATATTTTCTTTTGCTCGTATTATTTAAATCTTTAACGTTTTCTATGACACAATGTACATGATCAATTCTTTTTCTAGATAGTTATTCTTAGATGATCAAGTTTTTGTTTGAATTCATTCAAGATAATTAATATCTCTCCTTTCTTTAATCTAGAAATATTTGAAGATATTACGATGAAATGTCATACGTGCTACACATCATTAATAGATTTAGAATTTTTCTTTCTATGAAGGTCCATCAACGGCGAGGAGGTGCAATTGCTACTGAAAACCGCGGATGGTAAATTAATGCAGTTGTGCGCAACACCGGTGTCGGAGCCTTCTAACATATCGAATGTCAATACCGAACAGCAAACCGTTGTTATCAGAACCGAACCAGCTCTGCGGTGTGCGATGAAATTGGAGCCCAAGAAAACTGTGATCTCAAGATTATCGTTAGCAAAAATGGTAACGTACCGATTACACCGAGATGATTCGCGTTTCAAGATGAACCTCTTAGAAATTCTATTACAGAAACTAAAACAATCCCTGTCCAAGAACACGATCGCACAGAATCCAAGAGCGACCGAAGAATGCGCGAAAACGGATGCAGCCGCGAAGAAGGAGAATGTCAAGAAGACGATCGATCAGCTTAAGAAAAAGGACATTCTCGAGCGCAATCGTGCCAGTTCGATGCGTGCACGGGCCAAGAGAAAGGAATGGATCCAAGAACTCCAAAGAACGGTAACCAACGTGAACGAGACCAACACGGCCTTGCAAATGGAAGTGAAAACTTTACGCAAGGAAATTACGAGGTTAAAAACTCTTTTGCTGGCCCATAAGGATTGTTCGGTCACAAAGGCGATGCAAAAAGGCGAGTAATTAATTTAGATATCTATTTGTCGCACGATTCAGCGCCGTGGATTCTATAGTTATTCACATTCGCGAGTTTAATTGTATTTTAAAAACGTCTCTTTTTTATTGCTCCAGATCTGCTCGTGTAATCTGATTAAATAAGATTGGTTTAAAATAACCATGCAGAAAAAGATGAAAATATAATTCTCAATTTAGTTTAGAACAAATCTTATTGCAAATCTCTTTGAATTTTGCAGGAATAATTCTTGGACCCAAGATAATATCAGTAGATAATCCCGAGGTACTTACGGTGCCGATATCGAACAATGGCGTCCCCGTGAAACGATCGGTTTCCTACACGACGGAGATTCCGAACGTGTCGACGAAGAAATCGACCCTGTCGATCACGAAGAATCCGGTGATACTTCCGAAGATGGATTGCGGCACCGCGAATCTCGCGATTCCGAACGCGACGATTATAAAGACTCTACCGGCGTTGAAGATCGTGGGTGTTAATCAGTTTATGCCGGAGAAGTCGGAGGGAACAAAACAGATACTGATAGTGCAAAATCAACCGAGAAAATTGTGCGAGGCTACGACTAGGCAGATTATTCAGATAAATCCGAATTATGAAGTGGAACATGCGGCATCTAAGAGCACGGGAACGTAATTAATCGCCTTTTAACGTTCGCACATTTGTAACGCAAATGTCTTTTGGCTAAGACGGTCAGCGAATAGACGAATGAATCGATTCTATGACGCTACGCGATATATACGATATCGTGGATAGAGCAAGATATATGACGTTCTTGAAAATGTTCACAAAATCTATTTTTACGCGTCTCCCGTTTTTTTTTATCTTCCATGACAAATTATTTCGATAATATTTTCATGTGTCATATTTTATTCCACGAATAACTGCTTAATGTAAACGATCGTTGATATTCCTGATGTAGAGGAACGTGAAGTAATACAGGGAGTACCAATTTTTGTATTATTTATTGAGTTTACAAGAAAATAGATTTTTATTGAGTATGATTTATTTATTTTATAATTTTATCCTCGTCAATATATTTTTCATTTAGGAGATATTTGTAAATTATAATTTTATTAAGGACATAAATTCTTATATAACAGATATGATAAAATGAATTAATCTCTTCTTCATTCTTCCATTAATTAAATAAATGTAATTATACTTATAAAAATACTTCTTGTCTATTTGTTAAATCATTGATAAAATACGAATATGGTTTAACGATTGATATAACAACGCTTATTAAATATCATTACATTATCATAATACAATATAAATCAAATTGATGAATAAACAGCTTGCATTGTTCCTGCCACGTGCTTTCGGCATCTGACGGACGAAGAGTTATGCGATGTATCCAGTCCCACGATGATTCTGTGACCCTCGGGCCCTTATCAGTTCTCCGTCCAGTCGTCTAACAAACTCTACACCGGACAGGAGAATGATAAGGGGCTTTGGGCACGCATTGCTTCAAAAACGGGGAAAATGGTCATGTCAAAAGATGGAATTCCGCCCTGGAGTGCATGTGTTCCTCGAGATATCTGAAAAAATCCAAGCGATTGATTATTCTTTCATTTATCGAGAGATACTCAACAAAATCATAAAAACGGAACTAACGTTACTGCATTCGGGAGGGATATATCTCTGGTTATTTCGAAAACATGATGTTCCTACGTCATTTATATTTTTAAAATGCACGCGCGGTAGAATAACAATCTCGTTATCTTCCATCCGGAAATACATAAATTGAAATCGTCGTACGCTAATGTTATAATTCAAAATGTTTGCGCGAAGTGTTTGCGTTTTCAAGAGATATAAAAGAATATCTGTCCGTCAATTTTACCGTCCATAAATAGCCGTTCGTTTTTCTTGCAGAGTCGTCTTGTGTATGTATATCTATCTGTCGGCGTGAAAAATATATTTGACCCGATTGTCGGGACACGCGTGTGTCGCGCGCCGAGTTCTTTCAATCTCACAATCGCGCATTACGTCAGAAGAGCCACGAATTGTTCGGGGTAATCGGGCAGAGATAAGCACGCCAACAAAGGACAAGCGTCTCTCTCTCTCTCTCTCTCTCTCTCTCTCTCTCTCTCTCTCTCTCTCGAACAAATACAAAATTTCCGCTCCTTCACGAATCGTAGTGAGTCACGTTCGAGAGAGCACAACGGGCTCGTGTGAGGCATCCTGCGGGTCTGGTCTGGGCTGTCGGTTACTCGGTAAACTCTGTCAACCGCTTTCTCGTGTCGATAACAGACGTCGATAGCGACCGGCCGGATACAGTACGCGTCCCTGTTCTCTCTCCTGGGTCTCGCCGATGCTTCCTTAACCTTCGTCCTCGGCGATGAAATCAATCCTGCCTAAGCCCGCGGTAGAGAGCGACCGCGTTTATTAATGATGCCTATGGGTCACAAATAAAGGATATTCTTTTCAGGAAATATAAAATGTTGCAAAATCATTTATGATGTAATAACGCAATCGTTGAGATATTGGGCTATGGAATTTTGAAGAGCGTGATCAGAAGATATGAATATCACGCATCGAACAATGCACCAATTTTTTTCAGAGTTGATCTGCTTAAATAAAACACGTTTTAATTAAATCTATGATTTAAAAATGTCCATCTCCTATATTCTTCTTTCGCAACATTTTACCTCGTCGTTTTATAACACTCTTATTTTAAATCGAATGATTCAGGAATAATATTGGACTACCTATTGTCGCTAAATAAAAGACAATTACACGAACGGAATATCGATGCTTTCGGCGGGTTAAATATTCAAATTTTCACTTGTAGTGAAAATACAATTAAAAGAAAAGAATACAGAATAAGAAAATACAGGAAAGAGCATATTTCAGAACTGATCGATTATACTGTCTAAATTTCACCTCTAACGAATGAATTCGCTAGTGACGATCCACGCGATTGTGAAAATACATAAGAAATTAGGGGAAAAAAACAAAAACATTCTTAGTGTCTGAAAGCTTCTATACATTCCGAATATTTCTGCTGCGTAATAATATCGTTAATTCTCAGCAATATTATTCTAAACTTTTCAAATAATAATTCTTGATATCGTTAAATGATATTAACGCAATATTGTAAAATGATATTAACACTCGTTGTTTTTATAAATAAGAATTTTCAGGACGAGGGAAGATATTTTTCTCAAGATGAATCAATCGATTAAAAATGAGCACAGCAATTCTTATTTGACCCATTAATATCCTGCGTCGATGTATCTGCTTTTCGAGAATGCCGAATGTGGCTCACTCCTCGGCCATTCATACTGGTATTTTACGTAAAATCGGTAAAGACCGATCGCGACCATAAACACGCGAGTTCAAAGCTTCCTCGCAAGGATGTGGCTTGCCATTCGATCATTCGTAGAATTCTTGGCGTCGATTCGTCTTGCCAGCCCGCTCAATCGACGCACGTACGGAAATAGCACCGAGAGAGAGCAGGTGCTCGATTCCTACGGCCCTGCTGCTTCGAGATTGCGCTGAACCGCACGACTGTTATACAACACGTGAGATTTCCCAAACCTTGGACCCGCGAGAGCTTTTCTCGATCGTCGCGAACGACTGATAAATCGCTAGAGTATCATAGTGCAGATTTTAGATAATTTTAGTGCTTTAAGATCAACGTTATTTACTGATGTTAACAATCAATAGAAATTAATTCTGAATCCTGAAAATTAGAGTTCAATATAATGTGTATTTTTACCAATGCAGATTAACTTTAATCTTACAATTAGTTTAACTTGCTTTTTATTTTCTTTCAGTTTTAGGAATTAGAAAAAGATAAAAAGTAAGTTAACCGAGATTAAAATTAATCTGCATTGATGAAAATGAATATAAGGCGTTATTCCATCAAAATAGCGATTCACAAATCACAATAATTTTACGCTGCACAATAAGTCCAGTAAATAAATCTTTTTCTTCGAACTAATTTTAAGAAAACAAATTGATATTGATAAAAGTTTCACTGCACGAGTATTGCGATTTCAATTATTAAAATACCAGAGAAAATCTCTACTTGATATTACATTTTATACATTAATGTTAACTATAGGGAGATATATTTGTCGCCGCGTTAGTAAACCCGTATGGACGTTGTTTATATTAAATGAACGCACCGGGAGTTCACGTTAAATATTAAAGATCTAATTCGTCGACTAACGAGTCTCAACTATGCAGTCAACCACATATACAAGTTTCGTAATTATATCCTCGCACAAAGACGAAAACATTTTCAATACAAATAATAAACGAAATCTTAACTAGCTTAGGTGCGACAAACAACGTCGCTTTTATCGCATCGTTTCGATTAAAGATAATACAATGTCGCGACTGCGGAAATGGATCGATTAACCGAATCCTCAATCGAGAGACGGACGATCAATCATCCGTCGTTGCGCATCAAGATCGCTCTTGATATCTCGTATACGATCTCGCGATTATCCGTATATACAGACGGTCGGGAACGTTCGGAGCGAGATTTGCCCTGAAATTCGCTTCTTAAATTCTTGTTAGCGGAACGGAGCTCTCTCCCGGCCACGGCGCAACGCGGATTCCATTTACTGATTGGATATGGCATCAGTTATTCATCGCCGCTAGTCGAAGGAGAGAATGAGAGGAGAGGAGCACGTGCGGCCGTTATAAATACGGCGGATTTCCCGTCGGTATGCTGCTGCATTTGGAAATTCTCGACGGGCCTCCCCCCCCTTTCGAAACACGTCCTCCCCCACCGTTGCCCATTACATTGCTCGCGCACGTCCATGTTTGATGCACTATCAATAAAAAAACAGACCTCCCCGCGTAATTTTCTCATATACGCGGCAGCTTAGAAAGATGCTGCCAAACTTGGAAGGGTATTCTCCTCACGGCTAAGGCCGAAGAAAAGTTGCGTAATAACTAATACATCGGCCTTGTGGCACATCGAAACTCCCCTGTGATTCAACCCTCCTGATTTCTTACAAAAATACCGACATGACAAATTCACGATGGTTTCTAAGAGAACGAACAGGAGGCGATATCGGGCGAGAAAGATATAAATAGAGCGACGATTTATTTAATTTAGTCTGTTGATCGCGGCGGATAAAAATAATTAAATCGATATTATCAGTTTCGCGATTATACTATCTTTTATCTTCGTCGTAAGACGATGGAAATTGACCAAAAGCGTGTTCTGTACTGCAATAAAATATTTAGATCAGAATTTCGCAGACCCCGTTTGCAGATCTGCCGAAGGTCGACAAATCGAGACACAGGACTTGACGAAAGGACGTCGAAGCGTCGGTTTGCCATTATATTTACGGCCTTTCAGAGATGTATCAGATAAATAAACACATTCACCGGGCAATATGACGAAGATAAACTGGGGGAATCGAGCATACACGATTCTACGCTTCTGAGAGGGGTAATATACGCTCCGTTGAGCCTTGAGACACGTCTATGTTTCCCTTTATTTTCACATTCGACCCCAGACACACAATTGTTGGCGTTCTTATCATGGTTTGCCCGTCACGATAAAATTCCAACTCTAATCAGATACAAAAATCCGAAAAATCCAAATTCTCACATAAATCAGGTTGAAGAACGAAATGAATCTCAGAAATAGAAAAGTGTCTCCGACACATGCATGTTCATTGACGCGATTATTCTCGTCCTTCCATCATCTATTAGATTAATTAGATCTACTGTGCTCTCCACGTTTGAATCGATATCGCGACAAGTCCGAGTATCGAAGGGACAGGCGAGAAGCGAGACGTATAAAGTGCGACCGATTCGAATGGAGCGAATTCGATGCGACGGCTATTATCCCGGCCGAACCGCCGAAAAATGATCAGTTAAACGCGCGCAACGACGTACGTCGGATCGGTGTCGCGGGGTGGTCACACTAGTCACGTAGTCAGTAGTCACATGGGCGCGCGCGACCGACGACAGCGAGAAACAAGGGCCGGCGCGCGGAGTCGATCGATCTGTTCACTGCCGAAAATACACGCGCACACAACACACGTACGGCGGCGGGTATACCCCGCGTTTTTCCGTGCAGACAGGGCTGCGCGATATACAAAACGCGGAAACTGCACGCACATCAGTGGTCCAGTCCAGAGAGCGACGGCGACGGCCGCGACGGCGGACTGAAAGAGGGAGAGAGGGAGGGACGGGAAGACAAAGAGGGGTGGAGGAGAGAGGGCTCGCGGAAATTGTAGCCGCGCGACGATTCCGCGTGACGATAGTGAGCTCAAATCGCGGTAAACGCGCGAACTCGCGGATCCTCTCGGCGACTCGTGCGATGACCCCCGCGCACGTTGCCAGTTGCCATCGTCATTCGGACGCCCGCGTCCGTGGACCGCAAATAACGACAGACGGTTCTACTAACGCGCTCTCGGGTCTTTTCACGGTCCTGTCTCACTGTGTCGCGCGCGCGCGCGCACGCGCGCGGCAATGATAAAGTTATCAGGCCGGAGAGTCTGAATGCTTTTATATACCGAAGAACGCGCGTTCGTTCGCAATCCAATTTCTATATACTGGAATACCGGAATATCGAGGCGTTCTTGCGCGATCGTTTATCGACTGCTCTCGTCTCTCGAGTATATACGCCGTTCCTTCGAAAGCGGAAATGAATTTCGAGAAATCCGCGAAGCTTTGTGATCCCACGGAGCATCTCTCCGCGCGCGCGAACATGTTTTGCGCGAGAAGAACGATAATAATCGATCAGAGAAATTTTACTCGTCGAATTCCCCGGTCAGATTAGGCCCGACCTCGTGCGACTTGAACGGAATCGCCGTTGTACACGATAATCGGATCCTTTCGATTCGAAAAAAAGGAGAAAGAGATACGAAAAGAAACACAAGCTCGCCGCAAGGTCCACTGAACATTGATACTCGCGCCGGGGAGGGGAGGGGGGAGATTCTCGTATCGCGAAGTTTCATATCACATGCCGCACGCGTCGCGCAACGAAGTGCCACAGCTCTATGCTCGGTCTCCTCTCGCCAACCGGAAAGCTCAAGGTTGTCCGCAAATATTGTATATAGCTGTAGCTCTCTCATTTTTCGATATCGATCTCGAGAGTCTCTACCCCGCGAGCTTTATTCAGGCAGTCGTGGAGATAGGAGACGCCGCGATAAACGGATGAAGGATCGATAAGATCTCGAGATAATCTCTGGATTTTCGGACCAGCTCGCACGCGGTGAACTGATAGGACGCTCCCAGTTTCGAAGATACGAATTTTTACGCGCACAGCACACATTATACACTCTTTCCGATGACTCAAAAATCCACCCAGATCGTATTATAATCAGTCAGGCAAAGATTACTCACTGGACGCTGCAATCTCTGATCGGGCATCACGCTTCGTGAGATATCAACGCGCCACATTGAAGCGATCACTGGCTACTCTCCGCTCGCGACAGACGTTACGAGAAGACGCATATCGCGATACTCTGCCACAGGCTCCTGTACCATCGAGAAGCCGAGGGACGGACGAAACGAATGAGCGAGCGGGCGAGCGAGCGAGCGAGCGCTGATGTAACGCACGCGCACGATTGGCGACGACCGGCTGCGTCGCATCTCCGAGATATCCTCCGGAGCACGCAGCAGCACCCAACATGATGCACGATGCACGTCTCGCGCGCAACTGAGCGACCGTGTTGGCCGCTTCGTCGACGCTCGGTCGTTTCCGCAATGTGCGTGGCGGGAGGTTCTCGATTTCGTCGTGTCTTCGTCGGTGGCACGAGAACGGATCCTCGTCGCTCTTTCTCTCCCTCATCCCCGCTCTCGCTCCTCCGGGGGTCTCCGCCGTCAGCCGTGCTGCTCTGCTCTTTCTGGCCGTCGTCGTCGTCGTCGTCGTCTGCGTTTGCGAGTTTGCGGTTGTCTCGCTCGCGCTGACGACGGTGCCGATGCCGAACACCGGGGGGATGAATAGAGAGGCTGCTGCCGGCTTCGGCGAAGCGAACGGTACAAAGGGGGGGACGAGCGCCAACCGCGCCAAGAATCTTCAGTACCCTAGTAAATACGAAGAAAGGTGGTTCTCGGATTTTCAGGTTTGAACAGGGGAAGACTGACGTGAGGTATGCACCGCCGCACCATACGGCGAGGCATCCCTCGCCGCGGGATTCACGGGGAGTGAAATAACAAGCTGCGGCAAAACGTTAAAATCTATCGCCTGTTAAATTTACGAAAGAGCCGTGAGTCAGCGCTACGCGTGGTCGTCTCATTGATCGACGCGCTTAAATCCATACCTGCGTCCTCGGCATGCGTTTAAATATGTATATAGACATCGTATTTTCTGTGTATCAATCACAATGTTACACCTTATTAATGCTATAAGCACTTGAAAGTAAGCCTTCCATCTTTTAATGTGCCATCTTCATCGCCGCATGGCCGCTAATAACAAAGAAATTTTATGTACATAATTTCTGATAGATTTATTCTCATAAGGTGAAATAATGCCGTTCGTAATATGAAAGAAGAGAGGACGAATGAAAAAAAAGAGGAATTAATATCTCGCGCGGAATAGAATTTCGTCTCGAAGCCGGCGATTTCACGTCGAGGTGGAAATACCTGATTCTCAAGGGAGCCCAACTATACGGACTACTCTTAAATTGGTGGCTAAATTAGAAATCGCTCTCCGACGTCTCTGCGAAACGAGAGACCGCGCGCTAATGCGGTCAACTAAAGTAAAAAGCTAACCGAAGGAGTGGTAAGTAGACACTAACACTTCCGGGCGAGCGACTCGATATCGGCGGGGGAGAGTGAGGGGGGGTGGGTGGGTGGGCTCGCCTCGGCTTTAGCCCCGAATTAATTCTTCGGGGGTGGCCGAGCTTCCTCCATTACCGCCGATGGAACGAGCGGCAGTAAAGTGTTCCGCCTTAAAAAGAATACGTGTACCTTCATCCTGACGCCTGTAGCAACCGCTTTTCTCTTCCCTCTTTCTCCCGCCCCGCCGTTCTCGGCCCTCGGTACGATGCGGTGAGTTTCCTCGAAGATTTTAAGGCAAGTCCGGGATTTTCTCCGGTCTCGACATCGCCGATCCTGCATCAGAGAAAGTTCCATCGACCATTGCTTCACTGTCTTAAAAACGGCAGAAGAATCATTCTTTTATAGAAAGAAAAAGCAGCATTTACAAATGCTAAATGATAAATCGAGAATATTCAAAACGATATGCTTTTCAATGATTTTTTTATTGCAATGGTTTTTCCGAAACAAAGAATTTTTCGACACACGATTTCAAAGAATTCGCTTGAGAAATTCCTTTGTGCGATTTCACTGAATGTCATCGCACTTTTGTAACAATGTAGTGCGCTTTTTTCATTTCCACTTTACTTTCTCAATTATACTTAAATTTTGAATGAATTTAGTCTAGAACAAACAAGGGTGCGTGACGCGTCGTCGGCGCGGTAACAAAGCGTTAATCACGCTTTTCCTTTAACTGTTTCGAGGCGAGAATGTACTGGAACAAAGTTTTGTTAGGTCAGGTATGTCGCACTTTGTTGGTTCAGCCTTCGATTCCTTCAATTCCTTGCCCAGGAAAGACAGGCCACCGATGAAGGATACCCGCCTGGGGGGATTCCATATGTATACACAAAGGCATTTTTCAAGCGAATTCTTTGGTTTGAACGGCCACAGCCTATGAATCTACTTTCGGCCTGTAAGGAGCGAAACTAATTATACTTCACGTTAGTGACCTTCGTCCACGGCAGCTGTTTCTGTTCTATGAGTAAGCGAAACGCCTGCGAATGCGCCTAAAGTCGAAGACGTTGGAATTCTGACTTCACATCGACTTTAAACAAACGAAACTTTAAGTCTCCAAAAAAATTGTAAGTATCGCGATATAAATAAGAAATGTAATACATATGAACGTGTATCGCAATATTATGTAATATTATTCCTTATATTTTCCTCCTTCCTCTTTAAACTTTTTACGAAGACCATATTATAGATGATTATAGACATTACGGACGATTGACAAAAAGAAAAAAATTGAAGGAAAATATTCTAAGTCCCTCGGTGGAAGGATAACGTCAAAATATGGCACTAGCAGACTCTGTCGCGTCAAGTCTTCAATTTATTACCTCATATTATCCGATGTCGTATTGAATATTCGATGCACGAGTGATCTCGGTGGATGAAGAAAGAGAGCACCGGCGGCGGATGGTTCAGCGGGCGAAGAGATCGATACGAGCCAGCAGCAGCAGCAGCACGATGCCCGCGAGTTCCATATAATCGCGGAGGAGAGGAAAAAAAAAGAGAATGAGCGATAGCAGTCGCGTTGCTCGCGCAGCGCGCAAGCCGAGATAAAAGCGTTTACGGGGAAGTATAACGGGGATGGTTCAACCGGCTGGGGCGTGGTGGGCACCATCGGCGACAGTATATACGAGGGTCAAGGTTAACGTGGGAATCCCATATGCCGACATGGTGGTTAATGCCACGTGCGTATTAAGTAATCCTCTTGATTTTCAGCGAGGGAGAAACGGAAGGTCTTCCAACTCATTTTTGTCTTCTGATTAAAACTTTTGCGGAATTTAGAATTCATGACGATACGTTAGCACGTTATAGATATTTATTTTTATATGTCAGTCTGTATATTTATCCGCGTAGATAATTTTAAACGTTGACATTTTTAAATATGTATTTATATCTCGTCAAAGTTAGTTAATATGTTAAATAAAAGGTTGTAACGCTCGGCTGAATAATTACGTTGTTTAATTGATTTTACGATGATACATGCCGGTGGATTGCGGTAGGTGCCGTACATATTACTGCTATATGAAGGAAGTAAACGCAATAAGAGATCGAGCATGTACATACTTATAACACAAATCAAAGAACGAAGCACGTTTATGGCAAGCAGCACGGACAACGGAGATGATTCACCTCTGATAGGGGGTTTGCGATTATTACGAGGGTCAAGGTTAAAGAGGCAGATCTACATGCGGCGTATTAGTTTAATCCGCCACGTGTGTGCGGCTTCCTCTCTTTTCTTCCCACGACATAAGTACGATTTTGCATACAAAATTGCAGGCGTCGATTTACACGAATCTGCAGTTAATGAATTTTACATTAAAAAGCTGTACAAATATACTTAAGAAAAAAAAAAACTGTTTTCCTGATTCATAGTTTGACAACGACTTTGAATGCGAATAATAGATAGGTTTTCTTTGCGTTAAGAAAAGCCTGTACAATAAAACTGAAAGCAGTATCTTCTTTCATTCACGCTTTAAAGAGAAAATCTTATAGGCACTATGTATGCTCTTTGTAAGAATTCCTGGCGTTGCAGTTAGGCGACCTTGCCTTATGTTCTTGTTTGACCATCGCTTCCTTCCGTTAATAGATATTCATGGAAGTATGCCGTTATGCAAGGATGTTATTTGGATTCTACATCAATGAAAAGATATATATCTGAATGATATTGTTTTCACGCAACTGTTGCATCACAAATAACATTTAATAATATTATAGAACGTTTCGTTACATGTATATTATTCCGATTAAGAATTTCAATGTACGACTATAATAGGTATATGGTAAAACAAAAAAGTAGTACAATATATCGATTATTAATTTTATAAATAAAATCTGCAGAATATTTGTTAAAATATAAAATTAAATATATGAAGGTAGAATAGAGTTAGATCACCAACAACTTTTCTATTACGTTAATTAAATAGGATTAGCCACGTTTGAATCCAAGATATTGAACACAAGTCGTCGGATGAGTCAACGGGATGATTTCACACGTAGGTGATATTGTGAAGTAGTCGATAAATTAGCTGTTATCTTTTTTCGTACTAATCGTAAGTGAAAGTCGGTAAAAATTTGCCGTCGCGAAAGGAGATAAAATCTTACTAAAACCGCAACCAAAGGTGGTCCCAATAGGAAATTGAATTTTGTGGTAAATAGCTCGCAGATTTGGTCCCGCGATACCTGCGGCGATGTCGCCACGCACTGATTGCCATAAGAACCGTGGAGAATAATAGCGATTTCCCAGGTCGACACGGAATTCCTTAATGAGTCTCTCCTGGGCCGAAGGACGAGGCTGCAAGTCATGGCGACGAGGAAGAAAGAAAGTGAAACTAAAGTGGATAGTCGATGGTAGAAATTAGGACGCTATAAAACTGGAGAATTACATCTTTTAATCATCGATTCAATTATCTCGCCAGCACATATAACGAAGTTTAGTCCGTAATAAGCTGCTATTTTAAAAATTCCGATAACTAATTAAAATTAACGTAATTATTAAAATTAAAGAAAAATATGAAAAATGGTAATAAAAGCAGAATTTTATGAAAAATATTTTGTTACGTTTTATGCTACTGTTTCTCTTTCTTTTTTCATTGAAAGATCGTTAAAGACGTATATAAAATTTCCTGAATAAAATTGAGAGAAAGATGCGTTTGGGTTATAAGTATATATACACACGCAAGTATTTGGATTATGCCACAGTGGTAAATTGATACGCTCGTATCACGTCCGCACGGTCTGCACAGGTGCGAATGCATCATCGTGAGGGTGTGTAACACCCTTCTCGAGAGCCCTTTATAGTTAGGCCTTCCCCGCCCGGCAAATTGAAATTATTGGCACGGGCCACCGCACATTATTGTCTCGTTATCGGAGCATCGCCATTTATGAATTCGTTTTTTCAACGTTCCTTTATTTCTTCTTTCGATGCTTTTTTTATCCGGTTTTCAATTTCGAGTCTTCGAGATCGCGTCTTTATGTTAACCATTGAGTTAACCACTTGTGCCATTAATTTCGATATTATTCATCATTGAAGTTGAATTCTATATTGACATGCGAAACGTTAACCTAATGATTTACCGCGTGCTGTTTCGTTTAAAATTCTGTAAACTTTTCATCGACAAAACTTTTTAGCTAGAAAATTTAGCACGCCGATACATCGCCGGGTTTTACCGACAAAATTCACTAAGTAAATTATTATCGAGCGCCTCCGCTATTTACCGCAACGGGACCCAGCTTTATCTCGATCTAGCTCACGTATATACTTATCGAGATGAACGAGGCGTTACTTATCGCGCGGCTAAAAGTGGCCATTAGATAAGGCTCGGAATGCGTACACTGAACTGGAATATTACCCAATTCCGTTTATATGGATCGTACCTTTTTACGCTTTTTCATTTTATTTCAATTATTTTATACCGACCGTGGCTTTTATTATCTTTATTGCCGTGTATCGTTATTATTTTTCTCTATCGTTTTTATTATTAGATATATACACCTACGTGTTTATCGCGTAGCTAAAAGTGGTCCTTATTAATAAGTATTAATGAAGAGCGCTTTTTTCCCTCTCGCTTTTTCTTTCAAAGATAAAAAAGGCGAAAAATATTGAGGTATCGTCGAACATGCGCGACTCTCAAAATGCACGGATGAGCTTTGGAGAATCCTCTCTGCGGTAGCTTCCAACTCTTACATTCTCATATTTCGCTTCTGCCTCTCCGCGATTTCCCCGCAATTCGCGCCGCCTCTCGACGTCGCTCGCCGCGGGAGTGTCGTTTTTTTTTTTCTTTATCGCGAATTATGCTAATTACTGGGGTCCTCGGTGCTCCGGGAAGGGCGAGTGGTTTTGGCGTGATGCAGGTTGTTGTCGACGTAGCTAGGCAAAAGAAGAATAATCGGGGCGTTAATTTGTCTCGGCGCAAGAGCGGGAGAAAAGGCAACCGGCGACGACAACAACGACGACGACGACGACGACGACGACGACCTCCGGTACAAGGTGGAAACGAGCCACTACTGAACGGATAGAAGGTGGGAGGAATCAATTTATCCGGAAGAGAGTTCTAGAGTCCTCTTGATGGTCCTTTGTCGTTCTATTGGTTCCGCGGGGTGCAAATTGGGAACGGTGAGTCTTACCGATAAGTCGTCGGGCAACCCGGCGATTTGCATGGAATATTGCGCGGTTATTTCGATCTCTGCCTCAGATAGTGCATTCGACGCTGAATCTAGCGATCCGTGTTGAAATTTCATTAAATTTTTATGAACGAAAATTTCAACGAAGAATTAATGTCCGACGTGAGATTTTGTTGGGCAGGATATTTCAATCTGTATTAATAACATTAATATTTCCGAATTATATTATATTGTCGCTTTTACTCAAACTTATCGGATAAATAATTTCATCTATTAACGATTTTTAACTGACTAAAAGTCTTTGTCGTCGAAAAATATCTCAGTGTCGCGATTTACCCTAATTGAGCTCTTATTAATTCTTGAACGATATTTTGCTTCAGCGAGAGCCGGAAAACAGGCGGGAACGTATTAAAGTACAACGGGAGGAAAAGGATAATGATTATTTCGCGAGCTGAAATTAGAACAGAGTTGACCGAAAAAAAACTCATAAGGGTGGCTGCCCCGCGAACGCGCCGAAAACGGCTAACGACGTCGCGGTCGCCCGCAACAATGTAGCAAGAACTCTTGCCGCGGTAATCTTCAATTCCATTAAATCTCGGCGCAGTGGACGTCGCGTGGGGAACCGGTGACGAGTAGACGACCAGGTGTTCACCTTTTGCCGATTTACGAAAGTGCGCGTACATACATTCTTCCACCTGGACCGGTTCAGGGTGTTTTTTTTTCCTAGCGGTTCTCTTCCGTCGTCGTGGAAAAAAAAGGGACAAGGATGTCGTACGGGCCGTGGCTTTCTCTCCTCGGGTTCACTTAGATGCGTAGCGATGCGGACACGCTTCCAGAAGGCGTTTCCACTCTTCTCTCCGTTCTATCTCGAACGAGGAAAGACGGAAAGGCGAAAGGATTTTCCTTTCTTACTCGTGCATACACACGCCCGCGTCACAATTTCGAGGTTGTAGCTTTTTTTTCTACATGCTGCTCTTGGCGGATGAGAAAGAACTGGCCAGGAAGGCTAGCTCTCCGGGGCGTTTTTCTTTCTTTTTTTTCGAGTTATCTTCAAGCCGGATACTTTTTTGTTCAAGTCGCGTCTATGGGTCTGTGAATCTCACCTAGGGCTGTTTTTGTTACCTCCCGGTTATTCGGCTAATTTGCGTTCTGATTAAAATCCTGCAGACCTTAGTGAGAAGGATAATTGAAGGGAAGATTCAGCACAAAGATGCATAACTATTAAGAGATATTCCGTAGAAATATAACGGGAAGTATTTCAAACTCCACGCCTGATATTTGACTTCCTCAGTTGACTTTAAGTAAACTTTGCTTTAAGAAATTTCCTTTCAGGCTTGATTACATAGAAATGTATAATTTAAAAAAGATTGAGGAAAGTTGTTACGCGTGCACGCGGCACAAACAGCGTTCGCAAAATTTTTACAGAGGAAATATTTAACTATATTGACTAAAAAACTTATCGTTAAAAAGAATGGAACAACCTGTACAGAAACTTTTGGCTGGGAGTTCAGGCTCTTTCAAGATATTCAACTTGTCGCCGGCCGAGAAGAAAAGAAGTACGAACGATTTCCAACCAGGTGCTGAAGCTAAAAGTTTTCGGTGGAAGACACGAGAGGCGACACTTTTTGAAGCTTCGTGTATCTGCATATGTGGAAGCCGTTTGCTCGAAAGGGTCAAAGGTGACAGGGGTCTGGTGAAGGTACAAAATGCTAATAAGCTGTCTATTGTATTCGAATGCGATATTATGTCGCGGCCGTATTCTTTCTTCCTGTGGACGCACGAAAAGATCCTTAATGTGGAGTAGCGATTTCTTCTTTTAAAATGAAACGAGGTGCTCCTTCTAAATCTTTCTCCGTCTTGCAAGACTTATTTGAAATTATAATCCGGCCGGAAGTGTTTTATAAATGCATGGGAAACGACGAGCTTGTCTTCCTGCGCGTTCTTAATATTTATCTTTTTAATCCTAGCTAGGTATTTGTAATAAGCGTCGAGAATGAAAAGAATTCTGCGGAGGCAGAATTATAAATTGTAATTGTTAGCTTTTCATGGTCAACCACTGAACCAGCTTTGTAAAATAGTCGATATGAACAAATAAAGTCGATACAAAACTCCTGCACACATAAAAACCACGTTTATAAATTTTTCAAATGATACTATCGGAAATTGGAAACTCTGTAAATATTTGATCCAAACATAACATAATTCGTCAATAACATTTTCATGGAATTTTTCTCTTCGAAAAAAAAAAAAAAAAAAAACATTGATTTTTCATAATATAAATATTTTCGTAATAACCTTTTTTGTTATTTCGAATGAAAGATACGTTTTTGAATATTTAATAAAGTGACGGTAATCTTGCTATATCACATTTATTTATTTATTTATTTGCCCAACGGTATTTCAGCTTAACGCTTTAGAGAAGTTTGCGGAATATTTCCCGCACATACTTCAACTTTGTGTAGTCATGTGTTGTTTTAAAAGTTTCGAAACGGGGGAAACGCGTTTGTCGTGCGAGCGAAACGAATTCCTTGCCTCTTTGTGCGCACGGACGGTTACAAACGAATTATAAAACTGTCGAACCACAAATCCTGATTGTATCATTCGTCTCATGGCTGGTCCTTTTGTAAGAGCTATTAATTTTTCACCAGCGGGCCATCGTCGCAAAAATAGTTCGCGTACAAGAAAACGCAGGAAAAAAGACAGAATTCGAACAATGATAATTCAAGATTAAGTATGAATAATAGCTGACGGTGTTAATTGGTAGCGCTCAACTAACGGAATATATATTATACGCGAGATAATGATGGCGTTGCTTCATACGCGCGTGTAGCAAAATTTAATTACATTAAATAAACATTTATACTTAACGAGGAAAAGTGGGCACTAAAAATCAAACGCGGTTAGCCGCGCGTGAGTTAATGTTATGTAACATTTAATTCATAATTTATTATAAATTATAAATCTTACGTTTCGGTTTTACTTTGAGCCATCTTCAGCGATACTGTGATAGGTAAATTAAATAATTTCAAGCTCTCCGATGAGCATAAAGTAAGTATTTGAAAATTGAATGTATAAAGTGTAATTTTCGAGAGAAAATACTAGAAAAATTCTGCTAGTATTTATAGTCTGTAAAATATTCAGATTAGAAATGAAAATTGGCACTAATCAACTCATCGTCAATCAATTAACTCAACGGTTGACAGCCGGATAAACCAGCTGTTAATTATTTAAAACCAGGTCTGTTTTCTAATTGTATTACTGTCTCGGTTGTCGGTTAGTCCGAATTTTCATTTCTAATCCGAATATTTCGCAGACTATCAATATTAGCAGAATTTTTCTGGTATTTTTTTACTTGAAAATTACACTATCTTCGTACATTCAATTTTTAAATACTCACCTTATGCTTGAAGAGCTTAATTAAATGCTACATAATGTTAACTCATGTATAACTAACCGCGTCTGGCTCTCAAAGCTCACTTTTCCTTATTAATTTTAATATCGAGAGTTTTTAGTTAATTAAACATTTATACGTTTCGCTTGCACGGTGATAAAACTTGACGATGAACCGCAATTTTAATTGGCTCACTTTGCCTGCGCTGCTTTTTTTTCTTTACTTAACCGCACGGCTCATCCTATTTACTTGGAGAAGATATAAAGAGAGCAAAAGCGCCACAAGGATGCAATGCCGATTTCCTTATATCCTTTAGTCTCAGATATTATAGCGTATGCATGCAATGCTGGGAAGAGTTTTTGTATGTAGAATATTAGATTCAAGATTTTAATAATCTGAAATCTTTTCAGGAGTATCTTATTAAAGTGAAAAAATGGTTAAATGAAATATATGTATATTAAATCAAAAATATTTCTTGTCGATTATAAGATAAAAAATAAAGTTATCTAAAAGTATTTAAACTAGTCTTCAACGTCTGTAAATTGAGTGAAATTTAATACGTCTTAAAAATTTTTAAGTTAACCTGAATTCGACGACTGGTCTCCCTGCTACGCTCTTTACAGTTAATAAATAGTTCACATCTGCTTCATTCGATCAGCACTCAGGTCGATCGGACTCTCGCAAGCCGCGCGAGCGGATTAGGCGGTACGACCGGGACGATGCGATTACAAATGTAAATGCACTACTGCGACCAGACGTTCCACTCCCACGTCGGCTTGACCCTATCTTTGTTCGTCGACGGTGATCCCCCCCCCCCTGCGCGCGTTATCGCTCGCGATAGATATATGCAGTCGTCGGCCATCGCCGATCGGATCGACGTGGCCAGGTCGCGTCGGCTATACTTTCGGGAATTAATGCAATTAATGCGCCGACTTACCGGCCGGATATTAGCTCGATCCAGGATCGAGCGCGCCTGGTCCGAGTATGTAAATTAGCCACGGGACACGTGAAGCATCGTGTGAACATTGGAACCCTACTGACCCAAAAGTTACGATCCGCATCACGGCCGGATAAATATGAAGCTCGAAACGCGCGATTTAAGAGAATCTTGGCGAACTGTAGCACTGGTTGACATGACATATAGTTTCTTTAATGAATTTGTTTGCGAAGATAAATTGCTTACATACCAGCAAGATGCAATTTCCATCTTGGTAACTGATCCCACGTTCCTTTGAAACTTTTTTGTAGTATACGTAACTGGAAACATCACTGGAAGAAAAAAAGAATAAAATTAGAAAAGACCAGGATCACTGGACAGAATATACAACGCGAAATTTTGTAATATCGATATTTTGTGATAGCGGAACGTTTGAAATTGTTACGAAATTGTATTTTAAAATTGTGAAAATAGTTGAGCGTTTATCGTACAGGTACAGCATTAAAATATTTTCGTCAATAGAATATCATATTAAATTAGAAATACCGAGGAGACAATATGAATCGATTGTTGTGGAATATCTGGGTCGGCGTAGAGTGCCTTTGACTGAAAATTGTGTCAACCCGTTACATCATTTTTATTTATACTGTTCGTCGCGGTGCAGTAGCAGTAGCGAGAGCCTCATTGAAAATGCAATTAACGATACCGCGGCGTAAGCAACGCTACTAATGGCAGTAATACTAGTAGCGGCGTAGAGTCAAAAGAAGTGCTTCGCCTCTCACACCGTGGAAAGAATTAACCGGCGGGCCGCAGTTAACGTTTCACCGGCGCGGTACTTAAGAATAATACTTGGCTTCGCAGTAGTATGCGCGTCGACGCAGGAAAACGCGAAATCACTTACGTAACAACGGCTTAATTAAAATTGATAAATAGCCGGCAACGCCACCGGGGCAAGCAACTTCCTTACGGCGGCAGAGTTTCCTTTAATTTGCTAATTAATACGTGATTCATGTGCTTCCGTTCAGCTATCGTAATCGAGATATTTATTCGACGACTCGAGAAACGTATAATCTTTGTCGAGTGCTGCGATAATAATAATCGGATTGTTCGTTTACTTTTTGTCAACGATTTTTTTCGACCAGTTTTTCGACCAGTATTTTAATAAGCTGATATTTAGCACTGCCGACGTGCGAATGTACGTTGATCGTTACAAAAATAGAAGTGGAAAATATTTTAGTTTCGAGTTTGGTAGGCGAACGTCCGTTTATCGCTCGTGTCGTGAGTGCAGCCGTGAAAATTTCCGGTGGACCGAAACTTTTCCCAGAATTGGCGTTTGTTGGCGAGAGCAGGGAACGCGGTGACTCCGATGGCGTCAAATAATCTCATTAACCAAAGTGTATCTGATCGTTTAAAGTCGACCAATGGTTTCGCTATCGCTAGAATGGTTCTGTTTACTCCCTTCTCACCTCTACCCTCCACTTCTCCACGCTCTCATCGCTTTGCATACTCGAATGGGCACGGGAGTGTTCCCGAATCCATTAACGGACGGTTCGGGTCAAGTTTACTTAAGACCACGGCGCCGTCGTGAATCTGCCAAGAAAGCAAAAAGCTTTATTAGACAGTGACAAAGTGAGAACGGTGGTTTGCGCGGCGGAATCATAATGAGGAACGAAAGAAAAGTCAGGTTTCGATAAAAAATCGCCTTACACCGCTTTGAGAATAGCTGAACACAGAACCCGAGGGGAGAGATCGTCCTCTTTCTTAATAAACTCGCGCGTGGTCGAGCTTCTTCTTAGCGAGAATGTAAACCGCGGCTTAAACTCACCGCATTAGACATTACCAGAATTATCGCGCGAGTCGAGGTTGAGGAGCGTCAATTCAAGTTTTCAAGTGCGGTTTGTCTCCGCACGGATGTTTATAATTCCATATTTTCCATGAATATGATAACGTCATACGTGCGACAACAACGTGTAGTACACGGATGCGGACGCGAAATAAGTGGCCGTTAAATGCGGTGAGCTCCTCTCGCTGCGAGCTCGTTGGGAAATTTAGCTTTGAGATATCTGGGCTGTGCTATTCCACGACGTAGTTTACCCCGAGACTCGGAGTATTATGCGAGAAAGATCCCGGCAAACCGTCACTGCGAGTACCTCAACTCGCGACATCGATATACGGGACGGCTAACGAGGCATTTCAAAGCGCGATTGTCTACGTCAAAGTTGCACGATAAGGATCAAAGTTCTATCGAGAATATCTTCCTACGGTTGTCGTCGCAGCGACTCTCATTCTCCACGGAGACTCATATAAAATTACTCGGCATTGTCTTTCCCTCTTCCCGAGGCAATAGCTGGTAATTGTTATTTAGCTTCGCGTTACACCTACACAACATCTCGAAATGGAAACTCCCACGTTTATTCATCTCATTTGCATAAAAAAGGAGTAAAAATAAATCCAATTAATGTGATTTTATATTTTCCGACTTAAATTTATGTTTTAATATATAATCTGTTATGAATATAACGTATTAATTGAAAGATTCTTTTTTAAATGTAATTGAAAGCGGAAGAGAATTTCGACAGCTTTCACAATCTCGATTTTTTTGCTCGTTGTTGCTTTCTCGTGTTTTCTGTCATATAAATGCAAATCTACGCTACAGCGAGTCGTTACTGGTAAACGATGTCTATTTCTACCTGGTGTGTTTTTTCCTTCCGCATTCTTTTCTCGAAAAAATTTTTTTTGACCCTAGTAACCATATGGATGCACTTTCATCGATCCTCGGTCGTCCTTGGATCACCGATCATGCGACAACCGCCATGGTAAAGTCAATGTTTTTAGAACGGATGGACATGAAGATGGAGTAGCCGCGACGGACGAAGATGGAAACGTAGACAGAGACGGAAGCGGTTACCATGGCGACCATCGAGAGGAAAGAGAGCGGATCGCGGCGAACAGAAGGTTGAAACGAAAAAGCGAAGGAGAGAAAAAGCGACGAGGGGTGAATGAAGAGCTACGATACATGGGGCGGACCGAGAGAGAGAGAGAGAGAGAGAAAGAGAAAGAGAGCCGTGCAGAACGAAAGAGAAGTTACGATCTAAGGGATGCAAAGCGAGAGAATGGAGAATACTGGAAGAAAAGGGAGATGGGACTCAGGAGAAAATAAATGAGAAGATACGACTCGGTGTAGACAAGAAGAAAGACTGGGAAAAAAAGAGAAAGAAAACCAGCAGGAGTCGGCAAGACAACTACGCGACGACACTAAGGCAGGTTTATGAGTGTCAAAAGGAGCCGGTGTGAGTAAAAGTAGGCATATTATGGTAAAGCGACGCGAGAGGGTTTGAATCACGAGAAGATACGGCTCGAAAAATGCAAGGGAAAAATGCTGTTTTTTTTTTGGACATTTTTTGTACAAGTGTTAACGATATAATCGTGTTCCCAGCATCCATGTTTTTCTAGGTACTAAATTTTCTTCTATCAATATATTCGTCTTACAGACTTACAGACTACCGTACTGGACTTTCCGAGGACTAAAGTAATTAGAAGCCGATTCCCCATTTCTTATTGCCTGAATTTTAAGAGCGGGGAATGAGAGATTGCTCATTTTGACCGCTTTCGGTAAAATATGTGGACCGACCTCGCCAAGATGGATAGAGATAAATATATATACGAGCTGGGAGTAAGACGACCGTCGAAAAACGGGGCACGGGGAGAAACAGCGGGAAAGGTCGGAGGACGGGGGGAGGGAGGGAAGGAGTTAGAAACGGCTGACTGGGAAAACTATTACTCTCTCTCCCGATCCTCCCTCGTCGTCTTCACCCTCCTCGCCGCTGGTCGGGCCGAGGGTTTGAGCCCCGAGTGATGTTAATTGCGCTGCTACCGCCAGCAGGCAATATGTATTCGAGGAACGCTCGGAACGTTCGAACGAAGACGACTTGTAAACGCCACATATTTGCACCACCTCCCCGCAGCCTTCCTCCTAGGAAAGTAATGCTTCCGCGATATGAGCATCGCGCGACCGAAGTGGATCAAACTTTGCGCGATGCGCGCGACAGCAATATTCGCGCGACGTTGGATGCATCGCGTGTCCAAACGAGTATTTCGCTGGATAGTCGGCGGCCATTTGTATGGTAATTTTTCGCGACTATATGCTCCGCCTAATTTGCGACGCTTCGCGAATATCGGCTTTGTGACGCGCGAGGAGTTGCGAACGACGAAAAATGACGAGCTATAGGCGCTCCAGCGATAGCTCGGAGGTGAAAATGTTGATTTTGTTGTTCGCCGTTGTGTATCGATATTTTCACGCGATATTTTCCGCGGAACAAGTTTCGCGGCGTCATCTTATTTTCCGGAAACGCCTATCTACATTGGGAAAAATGATGCCCCGCGGGAACGACGAGAGTGGAGCTAGCTAAATCGGCGACATCGACATTAATATACATAAAAGAAGATTTATGAAAAATAACGTTAGATTACAAATTAAAGTCGGTGTGAAATATTTTTCGTAATTTTTCGACCTTTAAATCGGTCGAGATATTTTATCACCGTTGCAAAATTTTAATTCCAACAAAATATTGCTATCGTTTCATTATATCTAAATGTTACTACCAACTGCGATAATGCAGGGGCAGTTGTTCTTTTTCCGATTAAACGTTCTTTAGTTCGAATTTCGAGTCGATTTGTCCCTACTAAAAATTGGTGCTACATATTTCCGGTCGTGAAAAGCCGATATCACAATTTCGCTAATGGAATCGCTAGCACGCCATTTATAGTGACAGATAAATATACCGGTTTAAATGACCGTAATGGAGAACGGCGATTTTACCAGTTGAATAATTCCCATTTTTGCGGGCATATGACATTCGCTGTAACGAATTGAATGCAAGAATTCAATGGTAATAGTTAATTCGGGTCGTCCTCGATTTTTAAGCGATTTTCGTCGGATATCAAAATTCCCGTTACATAATTTCAAACTTTCAAAAAGACTGACTGAAGCAGAAATCTGTCAGTTACGAATATATGAATTCGATATGTAAAAACTCATTATCAAAAGAGACAGTATATTTCTGTAAAAATATTTTGTTTTTTTTTGTAACGGTAATTAAGATTCTTCAATAATGTACAAGATGATACGATGAATAGCGACATTCGTATTTCCGCTGTAAACGTTCCTCGTAAAGAATCGATTGCGACACGCAAGACGAGAATTAATGCCACGTAGGGTCAGTAGCATCCGTATGCGACTCGATACAGGACGAGACAATTGCGCCCAATCTTTCCATTGGTTTCTAAATGAACGGTCGTGCCGGTGTGAAAGGCGCAGCCAACATGTCATTACACCGATAGGGCACCGGCAATGATGCTGAAGACCTTGAGCGGTTTATTACCGCACGAATCGTACGACTCCGTAAAATGTTTGTAGATTTTATTATTTGTTTTGTGCGCTGTCGATAATTAATAGCGTTTGTTATACGTGCAAATTTATTATTTATCGATATATGAATCTTGATAACTCGCAAGTTGTCAATTAGATAAAATGGAGAATGCCAATCGGATAAAATGGAGAATTTACAATATGCGGAGAAAATACGCGTACGCTTGTAGTCGCATTGCGTAATAAAAAAATATACAAAAATAAAAGGAAAGTAGATAATTATATTTAACAATTCGTTCATGAAATGATTAAGGTGGCGGGAAAGCTGGCGCAATAGCTCGGCCATTAAAATTACACGAATTTACGTGAATTACATTTCGTCGATTTTGCCCGTTTTATTTAGCGACAGAGCGCGCTTTATGACCACGGTAGAAAAATGATATTCGAGTTAATTTCGTTTAGCGTATTGCATGCCGCTCGTACACAATTCACATTTTTGTTTTAAAAACACACACACACACACATACACGCGCGCAGAAAAGTCCATTTATTTCACGTCGAACGTTCCTTCCTCGTACCGACCGAAAAGCGTTTACGGAATTCGACTCGTTTGACAAACAAATGCGTTCGCATGGCAAATGTGTAATTACGACAAAAAAAGAAGAAGAGAAAAAAATTACCCGGGCCAACTTCTAATTGGATCCTGCGTGTCACGATTTTACGCGCGAGGGAATTAATATAGCGGGCCGTTGCTAAACTAATCCGTCACTATCACCTGAATAAAGTGGAACGCTGCCTACGCGTGGGGGGGAAACGTCACTATTCCTTCAAGAATATTAATGCATCCGGCACGTCCCACGAACGGTGACAACGCGCTAATCGTCGTTCGGGTTCGCGCGCATCGTCGGGTTTCACGCATCGATGTGGTGTCCGCGCAGTGATTCGTCGGAAATAATCGCGTGGAAAACGCACGCGGGTAAATTACTATCGAGTACCCTCGTCCCCCTTTATCTCTTTCGGCCGCTTTATTAATCTCCACGGAATAAAACACGTTAACGACGTCTCGCGGCAAGAGCGTCCGGTGAATTCCTGCTCGAAACGCTTCCGATCGCGTTCGTGCCTCATCCCTTCCAGAAATAATATCATTAATCAATCGAGCACTTTCCACGAATGGCACGTCAACGAGAAATGCGCTCGAAATATCGGCACACGTGGGCGAAGCAATTATCGGGCGGTCCGCGACGTTAATCGAACCCTTGCGAGCGAATCAAACTGGCGCGACTCCGCGTCCTTATCACGGAGCAATCGTCGCGTCACGTGACACACGTCGGTAACGCCGTGTGTTCCTGGACAGCCCTGCACTTTTCTGAAAGAAGGGAAAGGGCGCGTTTTCCCTTTGTAGATTACCCGTCGTATCATAGCGGGGGACACGTAGGAAATAAGATGTCGAGTGGTGCCGCGT